GATACATAAATCGTAAATTTAAGGAAAATAAATTCTAGAGCTTTTTCTGTATCTCGTGCATCTCTCTCATTCATTAAATTTAGTTGTAAATTATGCTACCAAAATAACAGTTAAGTTTTTAACATTATACAAGAATTGTACACGTTTTTTCTATATCCCCTTAGAGATGGGACATACGAAATCGTAATATCACTGGTTTAACATTGAAATCCACGAGTAATATAAAATCGGAGAGCGGAATAAATATATCAAATATTTTAACGGATTTTTTTAAACTCCTGTCAACTATACAGAAAACTATCATAAAAACATACAGGTAAATTCTTATCAGTTGGGTTAAGTTATAAATCTACTCGTGATTCACGTAATCGGGCGAGGGCGGCCAAATATCTAACAGGCGGGCGGCTAACAGCCCGGAACCGGTTCTGGATAGAATTGGATGCGGTATACGTGTAGCAGCCACCCGAGGTCCTGGGCCTCCACCGGCTAAACCGGGTGAGATTGGTGCTATGTAAAGCGCATGCGCGAATCTGACTCTGGATGCTGACAATACAGCGTTTCCACTCCGCTATTCCGCCACTAATATTCGAATATACAATAGCAATCTTATTTTTTTTCACGTGTAGTATAGAAATTTGTAATAAGATACATAATGCGGTTATAATAAAATATTGTGCGATTATTTTCATATAATTAAAATTAATATATATTTATTTTTTAAAAAATACAAGGGAAGCGGCGCAGCCACCGCTTCCAATGACGGCACGCCACTGATATTAATAAGGGCAGAGCCCAAACGGTTAGGAGTTGAAAGTTGAAATTTGGTACACAGGGTACGTCATGAGAATGCATATTAAGAAGGGATTTTTCGAAATTCCCCCCGCGGGGATAGGAAGAGGGTTAAGGATTACCCTGAAGAACTCTGCTTCTGCTGTACTATTTTAGATGCGTTTTTGCGGGAAATAGAACATATTTTTAGATCCATCTAAAAATTCCCTAATTAGTCTTGGAAGAGAGGGGACCTAATTCTTGCACCCCGTGAAAACGGGTAAGATCGGCTATAATCTAATAATCATAATTTTCGCTATCGTTACATTTTCAGGTCATTCAAATTTGTGCCTGTTATAATTTACGTTTAGGGCTGTTGAGAGAGGAGAGCTGGGAATTTTCCCAGACCCGGTAAAAACTTAAGTTTCTATCACTATACAATTGATGTTACTTTTGGTAACAGAAAATAAAATCTTAAAGACTACTTTTACTTTTTATTAACAAACAAACACTGCACGCGGTATTATACATATACATAATACTGTGTGCAGGGCTGTCGAGAACTTGTAGAGCGGGCACTATTTGCCATATTTTTTAAACAAATGAAAAGCTTAAAATTGCTGTTAATTACAAATGTACGATAAGAAAAATGATTAAATACAACACTTTTTGTAGCATTTATTGTAGGTAGCTAATATACTTTTGATTATAAAAGTTTTTTTTTTTTTAACAAACGAAATCTGTTTATACGTAAGTATAAAAGTAAACTAAAGACAGTCATCATATAAGTTTAAATTTAAATGGTACAACCCGTAGTTTTCGAATATTTAGTAACGTAATAGAATACTATTTTTCCCTTTCATCATTCATATGAAACTAATGACTGAAACTTGTGTCCGTGATTCTTTCCCTGATTTAATGTAATTGTTATTTATATCTAGATTAAATTCATATAAATCAATCATATACAACAATATATATAAGTTATGTATTTTTGCGTTGCAAGTTTTATTCAAACATTCGATACTCCATACTTCATGTTTTTAGTTGCACCCCACACACGTATACAGTATATAGTCTATATACACACACATCGCACATACACACTGTACTGTACATACATATATATACTGTATATATTCTATCACTAGATGGCACTAATAGTTAAAGTAGTGAAGATGTGCATGGAAACGATAAGGACGGACGGTGCTAAATGTTTATCGTCCTTTTTCTATGAAATGTTACGGAGAAACTAGAAATTAAAGTGCAGTAATGTTAAGCTTGCAAACCTGTAATAAATATTCGCGTTCCCATTGATTAACTGTGATAATAGGACATATTAATTAAAAGAAAATCACGTCTGCGGTTACAAAAAAGCACGTTATTTCTAAATAGTACCGTACACATCATACAATCATCACTATTTTTGATTATTTATAAGGGGAGAGCGCGAACGCAGTCCCCAGCTACCACAAATTACACGCCCCATCTGCCCCAGTTTGGGGTAGTGGCAGGGGTCAGCTAGACCCAAGTGCAATGGTCAAGCCTCACCCTGGGGGAGCCGCCACCGGTGTGATTTTAAAGTTTGGTGATCCTTCCTTGGGTGATGCCCGCAATCACAAAAATAAGCCAAAATAGGCTTTAGTCATTGACCAAATGGATCCGACCAAATAGTGAAGCCCCTATATGCCCCCACAAGGGATAGGTGCAAGAGGTTCAAAGGATTTATTCCATAAATACGTATAAATAGGTCTCTCCAAGCAATTGATATCCTCCTTAGTTAAATTAGTCACATATGATTTAGAGATAAGTTTTGCCATTATTACTTTTTTTATTATTAAAACTCTCTCAGGCATATATAGCCAATTTTCAGACCATATTCCAATTTCATCATTAATAGCCAACTTCATCTCGTCTCTATTTTTTATTTTCTCATCTCTCCCATACCAGATCCCCAAAACTTTCATAGTATGAACCCTCTCAATACCACTTACATTTAAACTCAGATTCCCTACAACATCCATAATCTTACATTTATTTTTGTTTATCTGCATACCAGTCAATGCACTAAATCTATTTAATTTCTTCATTATCTTTTTTAAACTAAAACGATTTACAACAAAAAACGTCACATCATCAGCATGTGATACATAAATTACTCTATTTTCCATCCCAGGAATGTGAATCGCTTCAATTAAATTATCATTTTGTATATTTCTTAACATTACCTCAATATAAATAGCGAATAAAACCATTGACGAGGGACACCCCTGTCTCACTCCGGCTTTACATTCAATCTTATCTGAATTTATATTATTTATATTTATATACGTGCTCGGGGTCTGGTATAGCCTCTTTATATACCAAATTTCCTCCTCATTTAACCCAAATCTATCCAATGTATGCCAGAGAGCTTGTCTATTTACGGTATCAAATGCTTTTTTAACGTCGATGGAGAGGAGGGAGAGCATGGTCCCTCTCTGCTTATAAATCTCCTGTACAAGACGCAGAAACATAGTATTACATTGAATTGTTCTCCCTTGTATACCAGCCGTTTGTGTTTCACCAATAACATGTCTAAACACCAACTCGAATGTCTTCGCTGTTCCACCAGCTTTCTCTTCCCTCCTCATCTAAAATTTTTTGGTCTTGTCGTTGGTGTTTTATTAAATATGCACGCCTTCTTCTCTAAATAAATCAGCTATTTCATACTATTGGAAGATTTAGTCTTTAATCTACTTCCTCCATAAAATTTCATAGAAAAAGGACGACAAACATATATCACCGTCCGTTCTTATNTAATTTGAAAATATTTTAATCATAAGCATTACAATTAATATCACTACTTTGATGAAAGTTACTACTAGTATTTTTAGTCTTTATCATATTTCAAAGCAAAAAGAAAATGCTACAGGATAACTATAATTAAAGCGTTCTTGTTCTTATTCAAAGCTATATTGTTCTTATTTAAACTATGAGACCCGACTGTGTTGGGCTTCGTCCCTCACCATCTGAGTAGTCCTGAAAAAAAAATCCGTTTTAGTGCACACAGTGTGAAAACAGACAACTGGTTGGTCGAGCGGTTAACATGTCAACCTATTCACTCCCTGGAGATTCCGGGAATGAATCAAGACTGATCGAAAATCTTCAGAAATTTCTCAGAGAATGGTCCATCCCGGATTTATCGGTCCACGTTCCTTATCAGCCGGTCGCCTCATTGCGGGTCTGGTCGAATCCACGATGGGCTTGATTAATTAAAAGACCCTCTTAGTGCTAACAATAAAATAGACAGAGAGACAAAAATGAAATGATATTTGCTAATGTACAATAATTAAACGTTAAACACAATATTTTAATAAACGAATGTTTAAATGTGGACATGCTGTTTGGTAAAACTGATTGAATTATTATAAATCAGAAACGGTTAACAAAGCGCATATATTTTTTATTCTATCAATACTTATGCATGTTAGTAATGAGAAACAAACTCTCACCTATTAAGTAATGTGATGTGAAGTGATGACGCCATAAAGTCACATTTCAACAATTTCTTGGATAGCAAGAATGAAAATCTACACACTTTTAATAGGCGAGAAACCAAAACTGAATAATAACGATTCCGCAAGTTAATGACAAGCTTGTGAAGTATTAACTAACTCAATGATAGTTTGTAACATATCTTTGAGAAATAATCCTGGAGGGTCCTACTTTGGTGTTTTTCTTCTAATTTTTATTAAATTATCGTACGTCATAATGAATTTATTAAATTTCTTAAAATTATCAAATTATGACAAATAATTAAAATTTTTAGGATGCAATTAATTCAGGAATTCCAGAACTGGGCTGTGTAAAAGGTGGCTCCACTGAAGACTTTTTTAAGGTACATGTGTACTATATTTTTAATAATTCTATTTATAAGGTAAATCAAGAACTTGCAATAAATGTTCATGTTTTGAAATTTACGATGATAATGGTAGGCCCATGTAAAACTGAAAATAATTGCCAAGAAAGCCAAAAACAAAAAAAAATGTTTTGACTTTCTTATGTGAAAGTCAATAATACTTAATCATAAATTTATTTATTTAATTTCTTTTTGTTAGAATTCTCAGATGACACTCTACAAGAAAGTATATGATAGTTTTCAGAGAAAGCCCGAAAATTTATTTAGTTCAACTGCAGATGGAGTGAAAAAACTGCGTGAAAGTAATGGAAAATATGCAATTTTTGTAGAATCAACATTTAATGAATACACAAGTCATCGTGAGCCTTGTGATACTATGATGGTTCCAGGAACTCTTGACACAAAAAGTTATGCAGTTGCTTCTATGTTCAATTCAAGCATATCGTGAGTATAATCATTCTATAGTTATAAATAAAAAATTTTAAATAAACTATTTATTTTGTGTAAATAATTTTTTTCTAAAATATACTTATAATATAGTCTAATAGTTGTTTTAAAAGTAATATTCCTTTCAATTGAAATATATGTAACAATCCTCAAACATCTATTAGTCATATACGTAGAAGTTTCAAGGAAATTGATATTTAAAACAAATTAATTATTGATTCACAGGGCTGTCGAAAATAGTAGGGTGGCCAAGTGGTTAGAATGGCAGTCTACCTTTCTGAGGAAACCAGGAATCGAAAAACCCCAGGATTTTTTGGGATTTTTCGACCCGTCCGGATTCGACCTATACTGAGCTTTCTAAAAAAAAGGGGGTCTTCTTAATGCCATAGGGCAAAAAGAATTTAAAAGAAAAGGGCTGTCGAAAAGGAGAGCAAGGGATTTTTCCCCGGCTTCACTCTGTTGATCAATATTTATATAAATACAATTTTATTATGAAAATTCAAAAATATATTCGCAAAGTTTACTATTAAGTTTAACTTGTTCGTAAACTCGAACAAGTTAAACGAATTATTAACGGTTATGAAGTAAGTTATTAATTCCACTCATTGCGTATGCTCGTTGAGGACGTTTTAAACGAAACTCTAAGGAAATTCACGAAGGAAAAGAGCGTTATGCCTTAAAGAAAATGGTGGCCGGCAATATTGATGTTTCTGCTCTCAGGTATATAAATTATAGAATAAAAGGTTAAATGATACAAATAACTGTCCACATTAATTAAGTAATCTAAGAAAAATATTTCGGATAAGAATGAACTAGCAACATTACAACTTCAATTTCGGAAACAGCCATTTTTTTTTCTTTTTTGGTAAACAAATCGGTCACAATGTCGGACGAAAGAAAGAATAACTGTGATATTATTCTCATTTAACTCGTTTGACTTTACGAATACACTCCATATGACAACGAGCAAAAACTAAAAAATTAAACAAAAGAAATAACTTATAACTCATTTTTGATCAATTGCCATACTTTCCCTGTTATATCAATATATAACAGCTGGATTTATTTCAGTAAGATTAAATTGATGGTATCAAAACTACTATTAAAACTACATAATTTACAGTTGGAAATCATACATGACTTATAATTCTAGGAATGACAGAATTAATGAAGCTCTTCATAAACTCCATGAGACTGGCTATCTGAATGAGTTATATGATAAATGGTGGCTTCGTACAAGTGAATGTGCTCGAAGATACTCAAGATCCTTGGAGGTAGTTTTTTTAAATTATAATATATTAAAATCCAAAATTAATAATTGTTATACTCGTATATCTAATTTGTATATATCTATATTGAAATTATATTAATAGAACTATTTTGGATATATTTAAGATTCAAGATTCAAAATTAAATCCATATTTTCACTATCAATTTTCATATTATTATTATTAATATTACAGAGACAGCTTTACATATAGACGGTAAGGGTGATGCCTAAGGCCTTGTAAATTTGGTAGTATCAAGGTTGTAAAGGTGAAATTTAGACAATTTGAAAAAAAAAAAACTTTATTAACAATTAACTCAACGGCGAATACATTTCAGTCTGGTATGTAATCACCATCAATATCAATCACACCTTGCCACTTTTGCTACAAACTTTCAATTCCGTGAGCATAGAATGACTTTGACTCAAGTCTTGAACTTCGGTGTTGTCATTGAACTGTATATTAGCAGTATGGTTCTCCAGGGCAAGAAATAGACGATAGTTAGTTGGCGCTAAGTCTGGCTGTAAAGTGGATGTGGCAGAACCTCCCAGCCCAGACTGGCCAGCTTCTCTAAAGTCACTTTGCTCTACGTACTGGTACGTAGGCGCGGGGGTAGAGGACTTTGTCACTTTGTGGACGAAGTTCTTTGATCTTAGTGTTCAAACGATCCAGTTATTCACTGAGTTCTTTCGTAATAGTGATGTCGATTGGATGCCAAACAAACACACATAATCGTCTTCTGCACTTCGGCCCTTTGACATGTGCAACAGCTGGTTGACCTTCGTTCACCCACGAACACTTTGTAGATGAGATCGTGATCTTTCGTTGTGCTGTAACCATTTTTGAAGTGGTAGAACAAAAGCAAGAGAATATGTTCTTTCGAAAGTTTCATATTGTCAGACATTACTGATGCATCTATTTCCAATGAAATATGTTATGAAACGTCCTTTGGTTACTCCACATTGAATGTTCTTTAACATTTTTTTTTTCCAATCGTTTCTAAAAATAAAATCGAAGCTTCTAAATTTTATCTTTACAACCTGATATATTTTAGTATTTAAATCATCAATTTGGTAATTATTGAAAATATAATTGTACCAGTGTCTGTTGTATCTGCAGAACGATCATTTTTAAAGTTAGAGTTGATCAAGAACTACCTTTGATAAACAATGCATCAAGAGAGACTTTCTTCAATTTCGATCTTGTCTATTAAAAGAGATATTGCTGCAGAAGTTGATTTTTTTTTCTGTAAATGGTTTAATTCTGCACCGCTTGAAGCAGGAGAGTTTTGTAGATGAATTTCTGTACATCTATTGAATTTTCAAATTTATTATAGTTCTATTGTTCACATTTTTTTTTTATTGTGTTTAATTTCAAAACAGAAAAAAACAGTAAATCACATTATTCTAGATCTAAATAAATCAACCCTTTAACTCCAGTACTTTTATAAATGGGTCTTAAAAATAAATTTTGCTTAGGGCCTGATTATAAAATACTCTTTCAAAAACTGTTAATATTTTAGTTATCATAAAGAATATATTACATTTGAATCAATTGTTATCTAATTGTAAAATAACATTATATTTATTATGTGAATGTTAAATTTGTAAAAATTGCAAATGTGTATTATTTATATATATTATTTGAAAGTTTAGGAATAGAATTTGATAAATAAGACTTATTTCATTCATTTAGGAATTATACCATGACTCTTTGACAATATGGGAAGTATCTGGTGTATTTTATATTTTGTTAATTGGTATAGCTGTATTATTGGGAATCACAGCTGCCGAATACTTTTATTGCTCTCGGAATAGTTCTGCAAGAAGACATAATGTAAGTTTTTATTAATTACAAAATTTATGTATTTTTGATACATGCTATAAAACTATTTTTCATTTGATAATTTTTTTCTTATAGTCAGCCCTGGATGAAACTCAAACTTAAGTATTCAGAAGTGCAAATATCTAGTCAATAGTATTAAAACGTGTTTTCCGGTGTAAAAATGGACTGTATAATACAAATATATTATTTCAAGAAAGTCAGAATATTAAAATTTTTAAACGCGAATAAATTAATTAAATTTTTCTCTCGGGGATTTCAAAAGTTTTCTATATATTGAATATTTGCAAGAATTCAGCTATCCGATGCAAGACTTAATTTAGCTCATTACTTACGGGATTAAATTACGATAAAGTCAAATAAACAAGAATACGGATTATATTTCGTGAATCAAAATATTTAATCATGGTGTACAAATTTCAATTAAGTCGAAGTATCGGATTCAAATTTCTGATTTAAATTCATCTGTTTTAGATGAAAGAGAATCATTACAGATTCGAATTTCCATGCAATTTTTTAATCAATAAATAATATGGACTATAATGTTATACAAAATTGTATAAATTAATGTTTAAATGAATATTTAAATTAATGTTTCAATCATAAAAATTTAGTTATTGAGAATATGCATTTAAAAAAAATAATTTCTTTTAACAATGAGTAATTATTTATTGTGACATCGCCACAATGCCTGGCTGCCATTTTTAATCATATTTTTAATTTATTTAATTTTAAGATATACGCTTTTCACTTCAAATTAGTAGTGTCTTTTCCCTGTACATCATACTTTTCCCGATAACAACAGAGTCATGACACTTATTTCTGTAACTCCGTTGTGGGAAAAAATTTTTGAATTGAAATCACGTGATTTCCGGTCTAAACCGAAAGTTCGGTTAGATCAATAGTTAATCGAGACCTCCTACCCCTAAGCTTTCCATATCTGGTCTCAACATTTATCTGTGTAATACAGTTCTCAAGATTAAGAAAGTACAGACAGACAGCCAAACAATAGTGGGAATTTATATGTCTAAAATTTTTTTAAAATTGCAACACAATAAAATTTTCAACATGATTTTCAAACAGAAGTAACGTCGCGTATTTCCATTATTTAAAAAAAAATTAACTTCTTGATGAAAAACATTTAAATGACTTCCGTATTCATACTTGGTTCTTGTAATTTTGCTATTTACGTTGTAAACAATTTGCAGTCAAATCCCACCTCGAATAACAACGTGTCTCGAAAGAAAAAGAGAAATACTAATCCAGGTTACTCTAAAGAATTCGAAAACAAATAAATTCTTAAATAATCAATTGTTAAGTATTTTTAAAATTAAATATTTTAAACTGTAAAAAAATAATTAACATTAAAGTATGTATTATCAAAACTTACGCTTGATTAACAATATACATCTGTGAAGCAATTCCATTACAATTTCCAATTATTACTTTTTTAATACCCGATAATTACATTTTAAAATTATGTATTTTTATTTTGTAATGTTTGCCAAACTCTATGTACTCGAAAAAAGGATATATCCAAATTTTCATTACACACAGTTGATTATTGATGTTATCTACAAGCGATAACTTTGCCTTTCAGAAAAATATATCATGTAGTCAACGTAGAATTCCCATTGAGACTTGCAGGTAAGTTAACTGTCAAGAAGATAAGATGGCATCATCATCGAAATTTTTCATGGTAAATAGCAGCAAAAACAATGTATATGTATATAATAACAATGTGGCTTTTAATGAAACTTGTTTAAAGTAAACATAAATATAAAATTCATTAAGTAAAGAAGTAATGGTTTATATTAATATTCATGTTATGAATATAATGCGGGCGAATGTCAATATTAATATTCTTTCTGTTTATTTATCGTTACTTCTTTATCCTATTCATAGCTATACTACCTAATCTATATATATAATCGAGACGGGTTGATGATAATAATAATAATAATAATAAGTACAGAGCCCAAACGGTTAGGAGTTGAAAGTTGAAATTTGGTACACAGTTAGGGTACGTCACGAAAACGCACACTATAAAAAGATTTTTCGAAATTCCCCCCGGGGGGATTTCTGTTACGTGAAGATCATCGGACTACAACATCAATTGGGCTGAAATTTTAAGCAATATCAATAAATATTAATTTATTAAAAGTATCTTAAATTAGATCATATGTAGAAAGAAACGACTAAGTATATATTCTGATACAGAATATTTCAATTAAAGCAAAATAACAATTGTTTTGAAGGCTTTGAATTTATGTAACGTTATTTTTCAATATTTCTAAACTTTATTTTTACATCATGATAACGTGTTCTTATATTATTATTATTATGATTAAATTATTTTCACTTCAACATTGGTAGAAGAACACGTATTAGCAATATTGATATAACAAATATATTCTTTGTTAATAAAGTAAATACTTAATTTACTTGTTTTTTAATCTACGATTGACTATTGTGTGCAATTAGATTTTTATTTAAAAATTTGAATTTTAATAATGATATATTCGGGAACTGATACACTTCAAATAACAAGCTATTTATGATGGACATTTTTCTGAATTTACTATTACAGAACTAGAATAATAGTATTCATGAACACTGTTAGTTATCATTATCTAAGAATCTAAGACACAGACATTGTATATAAAGACAAATGAGTTTATATATAACGTCTTAAGACTGTTTCTTCAAGATATTTATATTTGTGTGATTTATTCTCTGTGAGCGTTTCCACATTTTTATATGTTTTTATGTGAAATTTTCACCGCATTAAGTATCGTTTGTATTGTCTTGATGAATTCTCTCAAACCAAGTTTTATTGTAATAATATATAATAAATTCTATTCTAATTATCGTTAATATTGCAACTCATCAGCGGCAGAGTGGATAGATCATTAGTCGTGGGCTCACACTTGATCAATGCTCTGCTAAGTGAAATTTCCGAGTTTGATCCGTATGTCTAACACCTAAATAGGGGCTAGTTATCATAAAAGTTCGGAATGCATCTTCCTTAACAGATAGTCCGTATTATTTTTATTTTTAATATTAGCTTTTATGCCATTGTTGCATGTATATGGAAGATATGCATGCAATAAAATTTAGATTTAAATCTAAATAAAATTAGATTAAAATTAGTTTAATACAGATTTAAATCTAAATTTTTATGCTGTTATCATAAACAAATAACATTATTTTGTTAAACCAAACTATTTTAACTGTACAAAATTTATATTGAAATTAATAATACAGAAATTTAAAAAATAACATAGCATTTTCAAAAAGTATAAATTTATATTATAAATTGCAAAACATGAAAAATAAAATTGCTGAAGTTTAAAGAAAAAAATTCCTATAAGTTAAGATTTCGTATGACAGTTATTCCGGTAAATTTGTTTTACAACATATCCCATTTATTATTCGGTTTTACCTGGATTTCAATATACTTTTTATTCATTTTTTTAGATAAAGAGAATGAAGATGGTGAAAAATTTCTTTTTAAATATGTAGTAAATCCAACAGACAACTTCCCAATAATTTAAATTGCCAGATAAAAAAAAAAATATTATTTTCGTAGATAAAATTTAAAATTTGTGTTATATTTTAATAATGTTTGTTAAATTTTTAAAATAAATCAAGTTATTATTATTGTTTTCACAGATTTATCTAACCTTTTATCATCTCAAATACCTAATAAATATCAGCAGGAAGCACATAATATCAATTGTTTTCCTATTAGTTTTATGTAGTGTAAAATATTCCAGATTGTGAAAAAAAAGCATTTTTTATTGTCGGTAATTCCTAAGAGAACGATGGAAAAATCAATTAGCATCATTATAATTTATGTTTTTTTAAATAAAAAATAGCATAATGTTAATAATATAATCATTCATTAGTAAATATCAAGTAAGAATTTCTGTAAAATGAAAATTATTTCTTTACATTAATTTAAAATATTTTTATGTATACATTTTTTTTTAAATTATTGAGAAAAATACATCAAAATGGCAATAAAATATATTTTAAAATTCTTTACGATTCTATCAAATTAGATTCGTAACAAAGGTAGTTAGGGCAAAGAGACTATAGTGACACGTGCTTATTATGAGAATGAATACAGGGTACTTATCAAAGAACGTGTTGAAGTGGGACATACAAGGTACTAGACCCCGGGGAAGGCCACCAAAGAAATAAATAGACGGTGTTAGACGAGATTTGGAGCAACTGGAAATAGATGAAAGAAAAACGAAATTATAGGATGGAAAGAGTGGTATACCATTGTAACGGTAGCAAAAGATTTCAAGGATTTCTAAAGCCATATGATGATAAAGACGATAATGTAAATTTAGTAAATATTAAAAATGTTGTCATATGATAACGTTTGACTTGCTAAAATTTTCGTTAAATTTTAATTTTAATTTTAACAAATTGTTTAATTATGTATGACAACAGTTTCATAGAATATCAATATAAATATTGAACACCAGCCAATAAATTATTGCTATTATATGATAACTTTGTGTTTTTAATCGGGGTTTGTTGAATATTGATAGTTTTTATTCAGAATAAATAGTTTTCCTCTAAAATTTGTACATCTTTCTATATCCGTTGCATCTTTAACAGTTTTCTAGTAAATCCATGCATACGTAGTGTGTTCAAACTCTAAGGTTTTCAAATTTATTTCCTGGGAATGAAAGAAGATATAAACATGAAAGTTGTTTCAAACGATACCGACATTTGTTAGGATTAAGCGAGACAAATGGTAGCACGTTCTATTTACAGAAACCTCGTGGAGATATTTGACATTGGAATCGTTTTGGATACGAAAGATGGCTACGTTAAAGTTCGAAAAATGGCATGCTTTTATCTGTTTCCTCACTGCGTGGATTAAAACCCATCGAAATTCATCGCCAGTTGAGTGACACGTGCAGGGATAGCGTCATGGATGTAAAAAATTGTGTGTTCACGTGTGTGACAGTTTCAAGAAGATAGTGTGCGAACAAACCAAAGGTGCCCAGTCATGCACCAGCCGGTCCGACAACATGATTGCTCGAGTGCAGCAAATGGTTATGGAAGATCGCCGATCGGCTATGGAAAAGATAGCTTTCAAACTTGGCATTTCCATAG